ACACCTAAGAGCCGAGCTATTTTATTTGACCCCTCATTTCTGGTAATCCAACAGTGCGGTTCTTATAATTTTTTTAAGAGGTGGCAACCCTATAGGAACTCAATGTACTAAAGAAAATATGCCTATCGATACAGATTATACCTAAAAAGTTTAGTCCAAATCCGTTAAGTGGCATAGTCAAAATATCTCAACTCTCCTTTATACTATGTATAGAAGATAGTAAGTTTAAATAGGTGGCAACCCTAATTACAAAATAATAAAGTTTTTGTACATGCGAAGGCTATGCACTTTTATTTGGTATCTCTTTTTGTAATCCAACGAACGGCGGAAATCTTTTAACTTTTTAATAGGTGGCAGCCCTACTCAGCAAAATAATACATTATTGCGCTAAGTCTTTTCGTTTGACAGCGACGGTACAGAACTGATGCCTACGCTTATTATGATTGAATATAGTAATTTTATTAACAGGTGGCAACCCTATTAAAAAAAAATATTAGTGCGTTTCTAGAGGACATTCCCTTTCATTTGACACCTCATCTTTTGTAATCCAACGAACGCTGCGGATCTTAGAGTTTTTTAGACAGGTGGCAAACCTATTAAAATCCTAAGTAAAAAAAGATCCCTCTCCTGTCGATACAGAGTATATTAGAGAAAATCTCGTCAAAATCCGTTCAGTAGTTTTCGAGATTACAGCGTACAAAGAATCTCGACTTTCCTTTATACTATGTATAGATCAGGGTTGTTGCGAATATTCGCATTCAATGCGGATCTTTTGCGAATGCGAATATTGAAGAGACCGAAAATAACAGTTATTTGTTTTACGAGTTAAACTTGGCCAAATATTTTTTATTCCGAAATAAAAGTCCTTTCCGGATAATAAACAAACCGCTTATCCAAATTAAACAAGTTGGTATCAAATGAAAATGAACTTAAACTATGTTCACATATCAATATTATCCCAATCAAAGCTGGTTTTTTAATCACCCCGTTTACACAGGCAAATCTCAGATTATTAGCCGTCAAATTTGTTGTGCTTGTTATTCTTACAACTCAAGGGAAAGTTAGGTTTCTTCTCTGTGCCACTGTGATCACGTGTTTATGCTATAATAAGCAATATAAATATATTTTAACTTAACATTTTATTAAAAATACATTTACAAACCTCTTTTCCTTGCTAGCGTACATTTTTGTTTACTTTTACATTTGGCAATTCTCCTCTTTTTTGCAAAAACAATCGATAAAACTAGGATGGACACCGAAAAGTTATCGGTTTAATCTGAGATTATTTTATAATTACAGATTAACAAGGGGCGAATTTAATATGGCTATACTCTTGTTATAATTACAGATTTGGATGTTAAGCTCGAAAATGAGGATAATCTATTTATATGTGAACCTAGTATTAGATAGCTTTAAAACTGAAAAGCTACCTATTGAAAAATATTTCAATAAAAAATGTACATGAATTAATTACCATAAAACAAACCTTTGAATTTCTTTGGTTTTAAATTATAAAAAATATATAAATAAAGGTGGTAACTATTATCAGGAAGGGACTTTTATTTCGGAATAAAAAAAAGTTGGCCAAGTTTAACTCGTTAAAAAAATAACTGTTATTTTCGGTCCCTGGAATATTGTGCAAGTGCACTGCTTAAACGTATATCCGATCGGTCACATAAGAAAGGATTAAAAATTAATTACAAAAACTAAAATCGAAAAACGCTTATGACGTTCATTCAGAAACAATCAAAAGAATGAGAATGAAGAATTCTTTGGAAAACAACGGTGTTTAACCAACGATCGTGCTATAATGCTAGGTTGTGAAGATGAAAGTCAAGAGGATACATTCGACATTTCCAGCCCCGATGCAATTCTCAAAAAGGAACTATTCAAAGTTTTCTTAACTGGTGCAGCTTCAATCGAATGAATTTACAATTTTCTCAAGCTTCAAGTTTGTCGTCTCGACCCTAAAGTTGCTAAAAGTTACCGTTGATTTTTTTGGAATTTTTTTACCGAAGGTGAGTAGCGCTGCTACTAAATTTCAAAATACATAAATATTTTAAGGAATTTTAAAAGAGCACTTAAAAGGGGAAAATTATAAGTAAAATTGCAAATGGGAAATGAAAAATTTAGTTACTAAGGCGGGTTGGGTACACAAGCGGGGAGGTACTTAAGAGAGGGATTTTCTTCAGAATACATTAAAAAATGCATGGTCTCCAAAAATGTTGGTTACTTAAGCGGGGGGATACTTAAGCGGGTTTCACGGTACTAAAAAATTATTAAAAATTACTGACCTTTCCATGTTTTATTTACCTAAATCATCTAATTTACTCACCTAAAATATATCTTAAAATACTTGACATCCGCATTCGCATCCGCGGATGTCTAAAATTCCACATTCTCAACATCCCTAGTATAGATTATGCAATTACCTGCAGTAATAGGTAAAAAGACGGAATTCTGCATTATTCAACCGATCGAATCGGAATCATTAGCTCTGATCCAGTACTCCATGAACTTACCGGATCTTACACGAACTTGCAGGAAGTTACAGGAAAAAATGATCACGTACTCCAAATTCCTCCAAAATCCTGTAAATGAGAGCGATTTTTGGAGAGTTGTGTAGAGAATAAAGTTGCAACATTTTACCCGGACTTTTTCTTCTGGTAAAATCATGAAAGTTTCACATGAGGTTCCACTCAAATGCTTTCGCCACCTGATTAAGAATCCCTCTGTATTTGGAATTACGTTTATTTAGTTCGTCATAAGTCTCTATTACATTTGAAGCTTTAAATTTTTTAAAATACTAGCCTTTGTCTGCGAGATATACCGTCTAACGTTATATATCAATCTATTATACCAAATAGTATATATCGTTAGTATGGAAAGGGCGTAACTCACGTCGTCGCTGAAATACAAAAAGACGTAACTAACTAAAAATCGAAAATTCGCTTTTTGATTATGAATCATTTCATCGAATTAAAAGTCCCCACATCGTTTTATGGTCCATGCTAACAATTACCGCAAAAGTTTCAACCAAGAAAATCGAATACCCCGCCTAACTAATAAATTCAATAAAATACATAGTTTTAAGGAACTAAGCTTATAAACATAACATGTATATACATACATAAAGTCACTCAAACATAATTTTTTTCGAGTTAATTTTTTTTTTGTTATTTTTCTATAAAACGGTATGTCCAAGTTTAAACTATACATATAATCACAGCTTCAAACTTTAAACAAATTTTAGGAAAATTCAACAAATATTCATACAAATTTCAGCTTTTTAATCTAAATCTTTAGAACATTTTTGGGTATGCAGTTTTACAGCCTTTACAATTTGAGTTGAATGAAGTGTAAGTTTCAACCGGCTAAAAAATCTCGTTAATTTTTGAGATTTTTTTTCGGAGACTACTTTTGCATATTTTTTATATATAACAAGTGCAATTTACTAAAACTGGTTTTTTGAAATTTTGTTGCAAATGGTCCCTCGAATTTTAGATTATTTTAATCTAAATCTTTAGAAAATTTTTGGGTATGCAGTTTTATAGCCTTTACAATTTGAGTTGAATGAAGTGTAAGTTTCAACCGGCTAAAAAATCATGTTAATTTTTGAGATTTTTTTTCAGATAATACTTTTGCATATTTTTTTTATATATGTATAACAAGTGCAATTTACAAAAACTGGTTTTTTGAAATTTTGTTGCAAACGGTCTCTCTTATTTCATAAGAAATTCATGCTTTTATGGAAAAAAGTGCAAAAATCCGTCACCGAAAAACTCAAAAATCTGCTCGAGAAATATAACTGCTTGCGGATAGTACAAATTCAACACAATTAATACAAAAGCAGGTATTACATTAGTGTTTTAGTCAGTGTATATGACCTTGAACAAAATATTTGCTTTAATTGGAGGTAAGTCCTGTGAATTGATTAATGCAAAAAAATCGTCCTAAATTTCAATTCAAGATCTTTTGTAAAGCGCTATGGTTCCACCAAATAATAGTTAAATTTGAGCCTTATTTTACCATAAAACTAATTTTACAAAAATATGTCGACTCCATCCAGTTTTAGCTAGCAAAAAAAAATTGCAAATCATTAAGGCACATTTGGAACATATCCCCCAAATTTCATTGTAATCAAATGCACCGTGCGGCATGCAGAAGTGTATTCAGAAAATGCAGATAAATTTGCATACGTTTGCAAATAATTCATGATCCCACACATTTAAAAGATACATTAATATAGCGACTATTAGCTTTCCTTTAGTGTAACTATTGTCCACTAAAATAGATCCAGAGGCTGCAGTATATCGTGAGTCTTAAAATTACTGCACTGTGATAAAAGTGGATCAATTGATCTTGTATTTGGCAGTTTTATATGGGCCACACTAGACACTCCGTTTCATGTAGAAAATCATACCTGTCCCACCTATGGTAGGTGACTTTAGGGTTTGTTAATAATAAAACAATAATATTTGTTATGATTTTTTTTCAAATTTGGTAATAACGCATATATTTATTTGTGAATTGTAGCTTTATCGATGCAGAGTTGCTCAGTGAGTGAACTTATACTTGAATTTAAAAAAGAAAGAAAATTTTTGCTGTACAAATGTCCAGCTGCAACGAAGAATACCCCATATGTTATATTAAGTTTTAGAAGCTGCTTTCTATTAAATCGATGGACTTACGTAATTGTATGATTTATTATACGGCTGTATATATGTTTAAATTTTATAAAGAATTAACTGTATCGCTAAAAAATTATGCTCATCTTTTCCGTCCTCATAAGAATTCATTCTGCATTTCCATTTCAAATATGTAAATCACAATCTGTATTGTACAATAAAACTGCACATTTTTCAAAGTATTAGCCAAATATTTACATTAAACTTATTTTCAACATCATCGCTTTCTCGTTTTTTTATTTTTTTATTTATATTTTGCGCTATTGTCATGTGACTAAAATCAAAATCAAAATTATACCATTAAATCGACAGGAGCGCGGCACGCAGCTTTTCTTACGTTACGCCTCACGTTGGGGCATGGAGGCTTTACGTGGTCTGGTCGATGTTACACCATTGGAACCGGGACGGCATTGTGGGCAATTCCAGTGTCCATGCCAATATATAAAAGAACATTTGCAGTGTAAACCGCGAGGCAAGTTGAAATGTTTGAATTGCATTTATTGGGTGTTGGCTTCAGAGCGATATGATTAGGAATGACATCAGTTAGATATTTGTATTACACACCACATACACATAAAAAAACATATTTATATGAATTTATACTTTTCTACTACTTACATATTTTGCGACTTAAATACAACATTTTCAATACCAGTGACAGTTTTTCTCTTAAACATCTATAAAAAATTAAAACGATAAATGCAAACACCTGGGTCTTATTTACCAACACACACACATATCATTTATCTACATAGAGGATGTTTCTAATAGATCACAATTAACAGAAATTTTTTACATTGACTCATGATGTTCTAAATTCACTTCATTCGATCATTATTTATATTTTTGCGTTTTCATTGATTATTTTAATTTGTTTGTATGTCCTTTTCTTTTTCAAAAATCTAACAAAAACAGTTGTTATTAATAGCATAGGCCAAGTAGTTTGGAGCCGTTTCCCACTGTACTTGAATTGAAAAACCAAAATTTTAGTGCACCTCAAAAAATCAAATATGTTTCAAATGTCCTTGCATGAGCACAACCTGACGTGGACAGACATTGTAAAATTTAGGCTGCAATTGTATGCATTACGTACACAAAAAAGATAAATATCCGACAAGTCTAAACGAAAAATATTAAACATATACATAGCTCAAGCTCAACTATTTCTTTATCATCATATCTTGTTATGTTAACATATACATATATGCTTATATTAAAACCTATTTATATATATGTATATTTATTAAAAGAACCAACACTAAAAAAGCTTATCGCAATTAAGAAACTGCAAGTAAAGTGTAATCACTTATAATTACTTGAACTTCAACTTTCTTAGTACCTATATTCCCACATACTACGAAAGTAATTGTATTTATAACACATTTTACATACATATGTATATTTGTCAGTAATTTTGTTCAAGAAAGCATATTCAATAAAGAACACAAATCTAATTTAAAAACTGTTGTTTTCTTGTTTTATTTGCATAGGATATCCTTGCAGTTGTATTGCTTATGCGGCGGATCCTCATCTACAAGATCGCTTTTAAATGTTGTAATTATGGCATAATAACTTCATTAACCCTGCAATATTCGTTGCCTATTTATATTATTCCACTCCTTGAAATACTAACTCGAAATGTTATCAAATATATGTACTATTACCTAGTTTTGAATATAAGTATTGTATGTGTATATGTAAATAAACAGATTGGCGCTCACACATATGTTAGTGTTCGTCCGAGCTTCTCCTCCGATTTGTGGCGTGCGCCTTGTTGTTGTCACATAAAGGAGACAGACCTAGAGTTTTAGGTTGACTACGAACGGCGATTTTATTTTTATGAGGAGCTGTTTTTCATGGCAGAAATACACTCGAAGGTTTCCCATTGGGCGCCGATGGGCGACCGCTATTAAAAAAATTGTTTATATCTGCGGAATGGTAGCGCACACTGCTAACCACTACACCAGAGTGGTAATAAATACTTTCCTGAAAACTTTCATTAAGCGCATTTGAAAATTTGGAATTGGTGTTACTAGATCAGCTGATTTCACGGCGAAACGTGTTATAATTGTCATCCTGCGTATAATTTGTTAGTGTAGTGTAGTTCGCCTTGAGGTTGTGTATGTATTGACATATAGTTATATACCCTGCAGTGAAAAGCTGAACCAGTATGCACAAATTCCAGTTCATGAACTATTATTTAAGGATAAAAGACATACTAGTTCGTTATGAGCCATAATTATACCAGTTCCCCTTAGAAAAAGTAAACTAGTTGGTAGAAATTCTAGTTCAAAAACTGGTATTAAGTGGGGCAGTCATACCAGTTCGTTATGGACTATAATTATACCAGTTCTCCGCAGTGAAATGTCAAACCAGCCAGTATAAATACTAGTTCATTAACTAGTATGTGCTCAAGCGACGGCCTACCAATTCGGCGATTTCGAATAACTTATGCGATCAGCGACATCTGTATTTGAATAGCCACAACCAAAACTAAAATGCGGTTAATAGCTTTCATCACAAATGTCGGCTGTGGCGTCGAGTGAAGACTACCGAGTCTGGTTCTGAGATCTCAGGTTCGAGTGCGCTTGAAGATGGTTAAAGTAAAGTAAGTAAATTAATTTTAATAGTTATTTCAATTTAAATATAAAATAAAAATTGTACATAAATTTAATTTGGAAAAAACCTAAACACTCAACTACTGTAAGAAAACTAAAATAAATAATTTTTTGCTCTTTATAGAACAATAAATTTAAAAATTAGAACAAGAGATATAAATAAAAAAAAAAAAAGATTCGCTCACTGAAAGCTTTACTCTGCGACCATTGCCACTGTTGCAGCGCTGCGAGCAAAATGGCATACTCATGCTTTTCACGGTGGATGAATAGGCAGTCTATCCCGTCAGCTGGTATGATGCTACTAGTATTTCTACTGGTAGCGTGCTGATGCAAGAGCGGACAATTGACATCTACTATGACACCGCCATGTTAAAAATACCAGTCGCTAACATTGAAAAAGGATACAACGTGAACTAGTTGGGCTGAAACGCAAACAGGTAGCATTCTGGCTCAGAAGTGGTAGCTTTCCCTACAGGGATACATATACATATATACTAGCAGGCTCAGCGTACTTAGGATAGGTTAGGTTAGATTGGCTGTCCCGCGCAGAGGACGGAGCAGACTTTGGCTGGAAAAGCCCGTTGTGCCATTTGTTTCTTTCCCTCCCTTAGTAATTGAACCACCAACTTCGCTTTTTATAGCACAAAAAGTCGAGCACGTTCGCCGAGTTAAAGTCGGCTAAACAATCCAGAAAGTACCTGTTGAAGAATTGGTTACGCGTGTTGGCCAGTGCGGGACAATGGCATAGATAATGTTCGACGCTCTCCACCCCTTCCTCGTCTCTGCAACTGCGACAAAAATCGTTGGTGTGATATCCTTACCTTTGCCCGTGTGTGCCCATCAGGCAGGGTCCGGTGATTACTCCGACTACTAATCTGAGAAGGGAGCGGTCCTCCCTAATGGGAGCTATGGATCGCCTTACATTAATATTTTGCCTGGTAGTATGGCAGGTGGTTTCCACAGCACACCTTATATTTACCACCTCGATGAGTTCTACCGTTAATCTGTGTCTTCTTGCCAGCTCAGCGGCTAGGCAGTTGCCAGGAATGTCCGTGTGTCCAGGGACCTAGACACCAGTCAAGGAGCATAATCCTCAGCCCTTACCGCCAAGGTAAGATAATGTCATATGTAATACCTCTTTGAATAGAAAAAGAAGAGAGCGTTATGAAATACCATTACTTTTCATCAATGACTACAGTATATGTAGTTTGGATTATTATATATATATCAGTTGTTCGCCGTTCAATTTCAATTCCGTTCAACATTAACAACTAATTTCACTATTAATTCATTTCAGCCGATTTTTGTGGCTTTCAGTAAAGATTTGATGAAAAATCAGCCACAAAAAGTAGAAGGAATAGCATCAGTAAACCAGTTTGGGAAGTCATTGTAAGCAATCATGAAATAGTTACGCTCGGATGGGAATTACATTCTACTCCCAATGAAGCCGCTCAAAGCACCTTCAAGCTGAATGAGAACAATGCAAATAAACTTTTAATCAAAGTGAAAGTTTTTGACGAAACAATTCAAAAAAGCTGCTATGTAGTTATTGTGTGGAGTCATATTGGATATACATACATATGGAGAGAAAACGTACATATGCACATTAGGGTGGCCCAAATTTTTTTTCCTCCAGCCACCTAGGGTGGCCAGATGCGCTGATTTAATCAGTACATGTGCTGAGTTTTTTTTATTGTACTGATTTTTAAAAGCCCGAAATCAGTACACAAAATGTACTGATTTTTTGAGTTTGTACTGATTTTTACATTTAATAAATACTTTTGTAAATTGGTGTAATTGACATTTACTTGAGGTTTACATGTTCAAAACAATGGTTTTTGACAACTCATACGTGTGAGCAGATTGAAAGCATTAATTAAACTTGAACCATTATTAAAAAGGTGTCAGCTTGCAATTGTTTCGTTTCCTAGGATTTCGCAAAATAACAAACTGTTTGGATTCAACCCAACCCGATTTGAAATTACGATTTGCAGGTTTTACAGGATTTACAGGAAAAGCTGGTTTTGCCATAAAACAATCTTCTGAAATGTGGTGGTGAGTTAATCATATATTAAGTACACTGAGAAGATGACAATAAGAGATTACCTTTTGATTATAATTAAACATCCACTGAGAAATCGGCTGTCAGTATTTCAAACTTAAGACGACTACTGCTACGGTGCAATGTAAGTTCTAAAAATTTGGAAAAGGTGGAAACTACCGACTCTTGGATATGTTATATGTAGCTTTACTTTGATTTTTGATGTTCGACCACCTGTAATTTTACTTGCACATACACATTTAACACTAGCCGTGTTTTATTTGTCCAGAAATTTAAGCTAATAGCTTATTTTATATGGAGGACATACCCAACATAATTATATTGGCTTATGAAAAGCTATCTTGGCTTGTATATTGAACAAGAGGCATTGCCATTCAGAATCAGAAATTTTCTCCTTCAGCCAATCAGAAAGAGGCAAAAACTTACTTTGACACTATTTGCAGTCAAACAACTGTCAAAATTAGGCTAACATAGGAAATAAGCTAATTTCGTTTTATTTGGCCAAGATTTAGCTATTTGCTTGTGATGGTTGAATAAAACATGCCTAATATTAAATTTCATTCGTACTCGAAAATTCGTTTAGCGATAATTCGGTAATATACCTTTTAGTCAACATTTTAATGTGAATTTTGTATTTAATAAGCACACCAAGTAAATATGTTTTAAATTTGTAGCTTAAAATATGCAAACAGATTCTGATTCGAGCTCGTCTTCTACTGAAACTGAATGGGGTACAATTTTTTTTTAAATTTTCTCAATTTTTATATATTTTCTAGAAAGTTTGAGACTTCACCTCACATGTCTTTTGTTATAGAATTAACTATATTTTTATAAAAAATTTAAATTAAGTAAGGAAAGAAAAAATTTTCAAAACCTGTCAATACATTTTACTACTATTTTCCTGAGCACAGCTGTACATACATACGTAATACCTTTGATTTGTTTTAAAGTAATGAATTTTTATATTGATAATACTATATGTATTTAAAAGTCTATTAGTTATTTTTTGTTAAATTAATGCGCTGTTATTTGGTTGTTATATTGTTAATAATAAAAAATACGCTTAAAAATGAGCTGATTTTTATGGCTTTGTACTGATTTTTGATCCCAACTGTACTGATTATGTCACTATAATATCTGGCCACCCTACAGCCACCCCTCAGGTCTGAAGAATATCAAAAATAACGAGACACGTATTTTTCAAAAAATAACACTATAATTCTTATTTAACTTAAAAATGTTACTAAGTGTATTTTAATAACCGATAATTCTATCTGTTGTATACAAAAATTAGTTATTTTAAGTTTCCATAACCACATCACGCACGAACAGCGCAATGGATGTGTTAAATGATTTCTTGCATTCTATTCGATGTTAACTGTAGGTTTGTGTTAAAAAATTTGCAAAAATAGGGTTGCCAGATATTTGAAAATTTTAAAGTATTTAAAGGTCGATAAGAAATCTAAGCTTCTTTTGCAAAACGCTTTTACGTTTGGAGATATTTAAAAATATTTTTAAATTTAAGCTTATTTAGTACCATAATATGGGTATCACACGAAAGGTGTACGCATAAGCTTTGGGCTAACATGTTTTTAAATAGGGTTGCGACCCATCTGTTAACTAAGACGAGCTAATTATGTAAGTTAAGTGTAACGATGCAATATGAATTTTTGCGCATTCGATAGTTTGACATGATAGCGACGATATATCGCACACATTTTAATTATTTAGATAGGTGCCAACTCTATCCAGAAATACATATGTATGTAGGGTTCAAAGATTTATTTTAACACCTTTTGTTTGAAACTCATATTTTACTTAACCACATATAGCATGGTTTAAAAATATTTTTGTTATTAAAGATCAGAGATGGGCAAATTGGCTCCCAGGAGCCTCTTGCACTGAGGAGCCGGCTTGGCTCATTTAGGAGCATGATGAGTGGGGCATCAAGAGCCAGCATGAAGGGGGAAGAAGAGCGTAATAAAACAGATTGTACTCCGACCAGTAATCGGACTTCAACCACATTGTGGTAGATCTGCCACTTTTTTGAGCATCTACCACATCTACCACGCAAGGTCTGGAATCTACCACATATTCGCATTTTTGAGTAGTTTTATTTCTGCTCGACATAATTTTCTTAA